AGAGACGTTAAACCAGTTTTCTATCCAACTCTGTCTCAAAGTAAGGAATCTTCCAGTGAAGACTGAGTATTTCTATTATCAACGTATCCAGATATTAAGCCCTTCATTTATACCTATCATAAAGTGCAATCATTGTTCAGACTACACTCCATGGTGTAGTCCTTGGTATCTTTAAGGAGAAAACTATTATTAGATATTGGGGTCATTATGCTTTAAACATTACCTCCACGAAAGATCTCAATGAAGACAATCATTTTTTATTCACTCTTCTGGGTCAGCAAAATAGAAAAAACATGGGATTAAATTACTGGTACATTCTGTCAACCTTGGCTGCTCAGTTTTAAATACAATATTGATGCATTTAAGCATGTGCAAGTGTTCAATAAAGATTTCAAAGAAAGCTACCTAAAAGTTTTGGTTCTTAGGTTAATCTTTTATTTATCTAAGGGATGAAGGAAGCTGTCTAGTTCTGTGATATGAACTGCAATCAGCTTAAAAATAATTGACAAATTAATCCCCTCACAGCACTGCAATTGTAAAGGTGTTAAGTTTAATTAGGCCTGTCTGATTGCCTTGTCTAATCAAGACTAAAGGTGGTATCTTTGATGGCTAAGGTCTAGCGGGGACATCCCTGACCTGCCAGGCTTGTATGTTTTAATTATTGATTCCTACCATTTCAATCCTTCACACAGAACCCTTAGTTCTGTGTTACCCTCACACAGAAAGACTAAGGACCACATCCAAAACAGGGCTTAGGCCCCTAAAATAGAATGGTCAGACCTTTAGCATCTATGTCCAATATTACAATCCAAAAAAACCTGTATTTAGTGGCCATGTAGTCCAAGAGGCACCTATGTTCATTAGGCACCTTCCTGTTTATCCTGCAAGTTCCCTAGGCACCTGCAGTTCTGTCTTCTGCACATGCCCAGAACTCCCCCATTTGAGCGGCTATTTGCCTAGTTCCCATCTAAGCCCCACGTGAATCCAGAAACTAGACAAAGCAATGCTTAAATTGTCCGAGGGGCCCAATCACATATCAGTCATATAGAAATCAGTACAAAACCCAATAGTCACAGTCACTTTCATCCAAAGGCATGGTGAGATGAGGAAGTGCTACTGGTGTCACCAACTTCCCTTTTATAATTGTCTTTAAGTTAGACCAACCTTTAAGAAAATGGGAAAGCAGGTTCAAGGCCTTTCTCAGACAAGTTATTCAAAGCTAGTCTTTCCAACTCCCCAGGGAGTGGCCTAACTACTAGGCTGTAGGCTAGGCTGTGGGAGCGCATTTTCCATCTCTTCTGTTGAAGCTGGAACACTGGTCAGAAAAGATTGAAAGATTCATGAATCAGAAGGAGAGCAAGCAAAAAGGTGCGTAAATTGGTAACCTGATTGTTGGGGCACTCTGCTGGAAGGGGGACTTTGGCCCCCAAGGCTGTGCATTATATGTTATGTGATAGCTATTGGATAAAAAAACAGAAATATTCCTGAGATTAGAAACTGAGGGAGATTGGCTCAGACCCTGCTCTAATTACTAGGCTATTATATAAAGGTAGACTTTACCACCATCACCTCATTCTACTCTGGACACATTTAAAAAGGGTCCCATTCAGTTTTTGCAAAGAATAGTTGCGAACGCTGACTCTCAGAACTGGGTTCCAGACAACATCCCAAACAGAGGTGCTTCCATTTCATCCCTGATTCAGGCACCTAATCTCTACTCCTATACTCAGCATTTCCTATTGGCTAGGTCTAGACAGCTCCCTGCTTAGTGTGGTGTGTGGGTTTTTCGATTGCCCTTCCAAGGTGCCTAGCCATCTTCATATGCTGTAGATGGACACTGGGTACCTAAACCTGAGTTTAGTATTTGACTCTGGGGTAGGCACCAGGCCTGTGCGAGGCAGAAAGTATTTGTTTCAGATTTGGTGATGCGGAGGGACAGTGATTCAATTCTGTGATTTGAATCACTGTCCCGATTCGATTCAGCCGAATCTGAACCTGAAGAAATTCAGCACCAAATCTCATTTGGCTATAGACTATACAGGCAGGCAGTGTTGGCGGGGAATGATTGGGGAGCTGGGGGAATGAACAGGGACTTCCCCCCAGTTCCTGGTTCAATCCCCTAGCCCCCAATCATTCCCCCAGGTCTCTGATCAATCCCTCAGCCCCCACGGCTTCTCCCAGGGCTGCCAGCACTGCCTGCCTTGCCCCAGTATGGGGGCAGCTGGAGGAGCAGCCAGACAAGCCTCGGCTTTTGCCAGGGCTCATCCAGCTAGTCCCACAGCTGCTCCCACCGGCACTGCCTAATGCCTGCCTATAAAGTCTACGGCCTAATCTCTCTGAATCAATTTGGAGGCTTCCTATTCAATTCAGAAAGATTAATGGGTCTCCCAGTTCAATTCAGAGATTTGGTCGCCAGATCAGGCCGAATCTCCTCCGAATTGAATCAGCTACTGAAGCTTTGCACAGCCCTAGCAGGCACCTAACATTTAGGTGTTAACTAAGTTCTTCTCTATGGCTGGCCCTAAAGCCAAAAGCTGCTACAAAAAGTACATATAGAACCCTACAGTCCTTGAAATATTTTTGAGGTCCTTTTAAATCTTTGGAAATGTTGACCCATATTCTTGTGTGGTGTCCATCCAAGTCAAAATTGTTCTTACTACTTATTTGTTGCACAAGTACATAATTGTGTATGTATTGTTGCAGATTCCCAAACTCCTCTTTGCATGGATTAGCATCTTATAGTGCAAATTCAGACTAATTGTGGGGTATTATTTTGTGTGTGTAGTCATCATCATCATCATCATCATCATCATGCCCTAACTTGCCTTTATTTACCTTATCATCTGCACAGTTGCAGAAGTTTCTCATTTTCCTCAAATAAACCATATGTTTGGAAACCTTGTCTGCTTGGTAAAGTTTGAATGCATATTTTCTGTCAAATGAATGTTGTCATTCTGCCTCCATTTTTCTGAGCAGGGACCAGGTCATCCCCCCCACTGCGAACCCCGTAGCCCCCAGGGGAGGCACACCCCGGCCTAGGGTCAGAGAGGACCTAATCAGGGAACTTCTGGAGGGACTGGATGTATTTAAATCAGCAGGTCCTGATGATCTCCACCCCAGAGTGAAAAGAGAATTAGCAGAGGTCATTGTGGGACCCCTGGCACAGCTTTACGAGCACTCATGGTGCTCTGGCATTGTGTCAGAGGATTGAAAAAGGACCAGTGTGGTTCCCATTTTCAAAAAAGGGAGGAAGGAGGACCCAGGAAACTATAGGCCTGTTAATCTTACCTCAGTGCTGGATAAGCTTTTTGAGAGAATTATCCTGGAGCAAGTCCGCAAGGGGCCAGCAGGGGAGGTTATGTTTAGGGGCAACCAACATGGGTTCATTAGAGGCAGGTCCTGTCAGACCAACCTGGTAGCCTTCTATGACCAGGTCACCAAATCCCTGGATGCAGGTGTTGTGGTGGACGTAGTCTTTCTGGACTTTAGGAAGGCATTTGACACTGTCTCTCACCCCATTCTCATTAAAAAAACTAGGAGACTGTGGCATCTATACCTACACAGTCAGGTGGGTCACTAATTGGCTGGAGGGCCGCACCCAGAGAGTGGTGATGGATGGGTCTTGTTCGACCTGGAGGGATGCAGGCAGTGGGGTTCCGCAGGGCTCAGTCCTCAGGCCCGCACTGTTCAACATCTTCATCAGCGACTTGGACGGGGGTGTAAAAAGCACCCTGTTCAAATTTGCAGGTGACACTAAGATGTGGGGGAAAGTGGGCACGCTAGCAGGGAGGAATAGGCTGCAATTGAACCTGGACAGGTTACAGGGGTGGGCAGATGAGAACAGGATGGGTTCCAACACTGGCAAGTGCAGGGTACTGCACCTGGGGAGGAAGAGCCAGCAGCATACCTACAGGCTGGGGAACTCCCTTCTTGTCAGTGCAGAGGCAGAAAAGGATCTTGGAGTCATTATTGATGCCAAAATGAACATGGGCTGACAGTGTGGGGACATGGTCAGGAAGGCCAACC